CTAGTTTATTGAAAAATTGAAAGTATTGCTGGAACAGTCGTTTTTCAAAAAATCCATGTTCATTCGCACATATGATTGCGGTTCAGGTCCGAGTTGCCTAAAATGCACGTTCATTTGCACATGCAATTGCGGTTCAGGTCCGAGTTGCTAACAATTTTTGGGTTCAGGAGCTGCATGAGGCTGTGGTTGGGGAGCTAGAGAGCTGAGTTTAAAATTTTTACGTGCATAGAGAATATTCCTGCAAAGTTTCAGCTTTCTTCGTTGCCTGGTTCGCGAAATCGTTTCCCGCCAACAAATTTCTTTGTGGGTCCCGTACGCGGGGTTTAGGTGCGCATGGGGAAAGATCTTGAAACGGAAGGATGATACACGGGGTAGGAACATATATCCAAAATTTCAGCCTCCCAGCTTTCCTGGTTGTCGAGTTTAAAGTGGGTGACAAAATGCACTCGCTTCCCTAACACAAATACACACACAGACAGCCTCTCGACAATATGCGTTTTTGCTGGCTGTAGCAGCGCTATAGCGCACAGCAAAAACGCATAAAAATAGAATATTCTAATTTCTAGACTTATATGGGAACTTTGAAGCATTTTCGGCTCAAGTTTTTCGTCGAAGTCCTGCAGATTTTTGACCAGTTGCTCCGCTCCTCCATTCCGTCGCCCTTATCTCATTTGTGTCCGGTGACTATGCATTCCTATGATAAGATTTTTAGAAAAGGAGGAGGATAACGATGTGAATGCATATGATGTTATTCCAAAAAGTAACCCGAATGGCACTCACAATATCACAGTAGATTCTGCGGAGCAGTCATCCAGGTTTGCTATTGCGCTTCAGGCGGCTGAGTGTTTTTTCAGTGTTGAATTTACCATTGTATCCACACCTTTTATGACCTTTATTCATCTTGAATTTTTACAGTAGCGAAGATTTGCAATCGGCAGGAAATCATGATTATGACAATCAGCTATCCGCTTCCTCAGGTTTTTTACCACTCTCAATTTTAGATGCTTTTTCGCAGGAAGCACTGAATACTGATGCCAAGACGGATATGCATCTCTATATTAGGATAACAGAACAGTCGTTTATGTAGGGCGGAAACAGTTGGGACAAAGATTTTGACGACAGAGAAAATACATGAAGATGGAAATGCCTTGCGTGAAAAAAAACGACTATTTTGCATTACAGTTTTTGTGGCATCGCATAACCTAATACATGATGCAGTTA